GTTTAGACGTTGGCGTCGGGTCCGTCGTCGGGAGGATTCGGCTTCTTCTTGGCCATCTTCCCACCATTGAATACAATTCGTCGCGAAACAACGAAAAAATAAAGCTCTTCTTTCATCGTCGGAAGATGAACCCATTTTTAAATTATATTTTATAAATATTTATAATAAATAATAAATATTTTTGAGAGAATATATAGTAATAAAGAGAGATTTGTGAGAGAGAGGTGTGAGAAAGATGTATGAGATAGGGGGATTTTATAGGTTTTTTTTTTAAATTTAGAATTTTTTTTTTAATTTGGGGGGGGGGGGGTAACGACTATATAGCCGTTGGGAAGGGGGGAACCGGCTAAAAAACGCAGCCAAGCCGCGTCAAACTTTTGACACTGGTGAACTCACGCTCGATCACGCCCGGAGGGGGGCGGTGTTTCACGCCCCCGGGGCGTTAAATGCCCCATCACGCCGGGGGCGTTGCATGTATTACGAGTGCTCTTAGAAGATACTAGTTCCAAAAACAATCAATCAAAACATGTTCAAGCTTGGTTTGAAGCTAATAAAAAATATCCTGAGCTAAGCCTATGGCTTATGCAGAATTCCCAAAGGACCGTGCTACAGTGCACCCGTGGATGCCTCCTATGCTGCCTCCCTATTTAAGGTGTTTTTTTACCTTTTCTCATTCTTTTTTTTTCTTTTTTTCCTTTCCTCTACGTCGCTCTGGCTCTGCTATTCGGCTCTAGCGACCCGCTCTCTTCTCCCTGCGCTCTCCTTCTTGGCAGGTAAGTTCTTCTTTTTCTTATCTTCCCATTCATATCTCTGATGCGCAACTCCTGTAGCACGACAATTCCTTTGTCAATCTCTTCTCTTCATTCCGTTTTTAGTCAATTTCTATGGCAATAATTTTTTGAATTTTTGTAGAGTACATATGATATTTGGTGATTATGGACTTACAAACATCTATTGTTACACATGTTGAGAATGAGCAACCACATGATTTTGGTGGTGAAGAAGAAGACCTGGTTTTATATGAGTTGCAGCCCAGTTGTAAGTGTTGATATTTAGACCCCATTCTATATTCATTTGAAGTAGCGAAAAAAAACTGTTTTGTTTTCGTGTTACAGAGATTAAAGTTCTGTGAATCTAGGGTTTGTCCTTGTCACAGACGCTAAATATCTGTATGCAATCTGCATTTGCTGTAGCACGACCATCCCTCTGTCAATCTCTTCTCTTCATTCCATTTTTAGTCAATTTATATAGCAATAATTTTTTGAATTTTTATGGAGTACATAGGGTATTGGGTGATTATGGACTTACAAACATGTATTGTTACACATGTTGAGAATGATCAACCACATGATTTTGGTGGTGAAGAAGAAGACCTGGTTTTATATGATTTGCAGCCCAGTTGTAAGTGTTGGTATTTAGACCCCATTTTATATTCATTTGAATTAGTGAAAAAATACTGTTTTGTTTTGATCTTACAGAGATTAAAGTTCTGTGAACCTAGGGTTTGTCCTTGTCACAGATGCTAATAATCTGTATGCACTCTGCATTTGGTGTATTTTTGTTTTCTTCATAGTCAGGCATTGTACTATATTAAAGGTGCTGTTTTTTGCAGAGAAAAACCCGAAACCGAAAGAAGGTAGAAAAAATGATAACCTACCTAATAAGAGGAAGAAAATGGATGCGTCTGAGATCTTTGCATCACAACGGCATCATGCTTGGCCCGTGCAAGACGAAGATGGTGTTTACGACCTCACCTTGGGAGGTCTGGAGCTTGGCATTTCACTACATTGACTTTTAATTGTCTTTTTTTGGCATCAGATCTAGAACTTTGCTCTCATTTTTGGATTGAGCATGGGAACTGTATTTTACATCAGATCTAGAACTGATGTAAACATGATGTAACTTTGTTTTTACATACATTAAGTCTTTGTGAAGTGTGTGAAATAGACAGTTATTCTATGTGAGCCCGCTGAAATCTAATGTATGCGTTTTAACTTTCTTTTTACCTTTACAAGACCCCCACATATGTGATAAGATTCTGAAGATGGTGTATGTACATAAAGTTATGTAACTCTGTCGTCACATACATTAAATTTCTGTGAAATGGATAAAATAGACAGTTATTCTCTGTGAGGGTTCTGAAAGTAAAACTGTAAAACAGTTATAAACTAATGTAAATCAGTCATCACATACATTAACACATTGTGCATTAATAAGTACAAATTCATGATTATAAAAGCCCCATTACAAAGCTTTCATAAAAGCCTAAAGTGTTTCCCCAAAATACATTACAAAGCACAAAAACCATGAATTGGGGATGAAGTTTACAAACATTGAAGAAATCTGAGAACACTATCTGGTTGATGTAACTCTGTCTTCACATACATTAATTCTCTGTGAAGTGTGTGACATAGACAGTTATTCTATGTGAGCACCATGAAATCTAATGTATGCGTTTTAACTTTTTTTTTACCTTTACAAGACCCCCACATATGTGATAAGATTATGAAGATAGTGTATGTGCACAACGTTATATAACTCTGTCGTCACATACATTAAATCTCTGTGTAATGGGGAAAATAGACAGTTATTCTCTGTGAGGTCTCTGAAAGTAAACCTGTAATTCAGTCATAAACTAATGTAAATCAGACATCACACACATTAACATATTGTGCATTAACAAGTAGAAATTCATGATGATAAAAGCCCTCATTACAAAGCTTGCAAAAAAATCTAAAGTGTTTCCCCAAAAAATACATTACAATGCACAAAAACCATTACAAAGAGTTTCACAAAAATTAAAGACCCCTAAAATTGTAAAGTAAAAAAGCTAAATATTGGTTGTTTTCCTTCCACGCCATAATCTAGCTGCAAATTGACATCAGAAATCAGCCATGTGTTCAGAACTGCAGTCCTTTTCTTAATGGTAAGCCAACCAATTGGAGTCCTGCGAAATTCTTCCATTTGACTAGGACTCAATTTCTTCTCAATGTTATTGATGGCTTCACGGATGTCAGAACAAACTGAGTATTGAGCTCCAAAATGAGCACTAACAGGGATCAACAAAGACATCGTCTGAAATGAAGTTCAATTAACACAAGTTAAATATATATACATATGAAGTTCAATAAACAGAAGTTAATCGTCTATGGCATACGTACAGAAGTCAATCTTAAAAGTTGGAACTACTTCTCCATCATATTAAGGCTAGCAAAAAATACTCTAGAAATGCTAGCACCATCACTCCACAATTGCCATACCTGTAAGGGAAAATAGTATTAAAATAACAAGCAAACCTCTTTTACAAACAATAATGTTTTATGAAGTTCAATAAACAGAAGTTAATCGTCTATGAGATACAATTCACAGAAAGCAAGCAAAAATAACAAGCAGACCTCTTTCACAGACAATAATGTTATATGAAGTTTAAATAACAGAACTTAACCATCTATGCTATACAATTCGCACAGTAAGCAGAAATAACAAGCAAACCTATTTCACAGAGTCCAATAACAAGTGGGGTACATGCTAAGGACCATGCTACATTTACACCAAAAAATGTACATATAGCTTAATCCAAAATCTAAAGTGTTTCCCCAAAAAAATACATTACTTGTTTGGAGGGGTGGGGCTGCCGGCGCTGGAGCTGGAGGGGTGGGCCTACCGGCGCTGGAGCTGGAGGGGTGGGCCTGCCGGCGCTGGAGCTGGAGGGGTGGGCCTACCGGCGCTGGAGCTGGAGGGGTGGGCCTGCCGGCGCTGGAGCTGGAGGAGTGGGGCTGCCGGCGCTGCTATGCTCTCGACGGAGAAGAAGGACGTGGAATTGGAGATGTCCGAATTCTGTCGCTTGTGGAGGTTGAAGTGAGAGAAGGGAGATTTGGGAATTTTGGGGAAGAAGGTGGGAGAAGAAAAGACTAAGAAAAAAGGAAAATTAAAAAAAAATTAAATATATTGGGTGACATGCTTGGAGGCACATGTGGTGCCTCTTTAGCATTCTCCATTCCCAAATAGGGCTTTAAAAGTTTTGGGCCCAAAGTGAAAAAATTAAAATAAATTGGGGTGTCTCATATCCGGATGCGCCTAATTCGCGCAAGAGAGAGAGAGAGTGCAGAGGGCTTACTCCGCCGCCTCCGACACGCTCGGCTTCGTTGGCGATTGACGTCGCCGTCTTCTCTCCGGCGTCATTCCTCACTCCTCAGGTATCCTCTTCTCTCCTCCGATACCTTTATAATCTGTATACTCCGTATCTCTCAGCTTCTCTCTCTTTCCTTCTCTCTGTCTAAGTCTCTCTCATTCATAAGTTGTTTATTTATTTTTATATGCGAATTTGTTACTATTGAGATTTCCTCCTAACATCTGTGCTATTTTTTGGGTTGTTTGGCTATTTTAATTTGTGGGGTACTGGATGAGCCAGCGAGGTTTCTTCCATTAATTTGTTTGAGACTTGTATTATGTTTTCTATCTATTTTTTGGGATGTTATGTGTTTGATTTATTTAAAACTAGGATAGTTGATATATTTCGTGAATATTTTGAACATAAATACTTGTATCTTACAAAGAAATGAATAATACAAATAAAAAAATGTATAAATGAATTTACTTTGGTATTTTGAAAAATTTCCGCACCCGCGCACCCGTCGCCCACCCGCACCTGTGCTTCATAGATGGCAAGGCACCACCTGCGTGTTCTGAGGGAGTTTATTTGTTCTTTTGTTATTTTTTCTTCATTCATTTTTGGCAGGAAATTTGAAAAAAAGCTGCATCATTATATATAGAAGATGGCGGGTCTGAAGCTAAGCAAGGGAAGGAGCAAGGGACTTCAGAAATCTCAACCAAAGAAGAAGCAAAAGAAAGATGTATCTCAGTTTAGTGATGATGCTAGAATATACGAGGAAGAGGTTGAAGATGAACACAGAGCATCTGAAGGAGAAGAGCGGGGAGTTGAATCTGATTCTGATTTATCTTCTGATGGAGATGGTGCACTAGCTGATGATTTTCTTGGAGGGAGTGATGATGAAGAAGGTTCTGATGGTGTTGCAGAGGAGGATTCAGATGTTGGTTCTGATTCTGACATTTCTGATATTGAGAAGGATGCAAGGAATATTGATAAAGAAAGGGAACGAGTAAAGTATGAAGCAGCAGAAGAGTTAAAGACTAATATTGTTAGAGTAGAGCCAGATGAGTTCAGACTTCCTACGAGTGAGGTACCCTTCAATATCACTTTTAGTTTTTAAATATTTGATATTTTTATTACTGCCTCCATCCCCCATAAAGAACTTGAAGTTGCGGTTTATGATGCTTACTCAAATTTATTTTGTATTCAATTCATTTCAATATTGGTTTAAAATTCAAAAATAAAATTTATACTATATTTAAAGACTATCAAATGTTTTGCAAAAGTAGAGGTGATTTGACTATGTTATTTTAACAAAAGATTTACAAAAACATGTAATGGAAGAAGATGTGGTTTGACCATGTGAACAGTCTAACATAAAGATCTTTTTGACAAGAGGGAGTAATATATAATACTCCCTCTTTCCAAAAAAATTTCTCATTTCCTGCATGGAATATTTAGGAGCTTGAAGAAGAAAAACAGAGACCTCCTGATCTTAGCAATATCCAACGAAGGATAAAAGAGGGTGAGTTACACGATCAACAATATTTTCCTTTTTTTAGCATTAAGTAAATCACTTTACTTACTGGTCTATATGGTTGTGGTACTATCAGTTGTACAAGTTCTTACAAAATTCAGGTCTTTGAGGCAAAGCGGAGTTCCTCGCAAGGATTATGTTGACCAACTTAAGAGTGATTTAGCTTCATACTATGGATACAATGATTTCATGATTGAAACTCTAGTTGAGGTAACCTGCCAATTTCTTAAGTCCTATTTATGTATTTGCTTTTGTTGATTAAGCTACGTCTTGGTGTAATAGTTTTACTATTTACTTATAACTGTAATACAGATGTTCAAGGTTGTTGAACTTATGGAACTTATTGAAGCCTTTGAAAAGCCTCGACCAATATGTATTCGAACAAACACATTGAAGGTGAATTTTCTTCTCCTTACTTTGCTTTTAGAACAAGAAGCATATCCAAAATTTGACATTGTACTGATAGTATGGGCTGTTGAGTTGAATAGACACGTAGACGGGATTTGGCTGCTGTGCTGTTGAACAGGGGTGTCAATTTGGATCAGCTTAGCAAATGGTCAAAGGTGAAATTGCTCGTGTATATATATTCGGCCTGACCAGTCATGTTGCTACATGCAGTATTTAATATATGGATTTCCACTTGCTGAAACATAGGTTGGATTGGTTGTATATGATTCACAAGTACCAGTTGGTGCAACTCCTGAGTATATGGCTGGTCATTACATGGTATCTTTAGGAAACTTCAATTGAATGCTTTTCAATTGGTAATTTGATTGTTCCTCACAACTAGATGGTGTATTAACAGCTTCAAGGCGCAAGTTCATTTTTGCCTGTAATGGCTCTTGCTCCTCAAGAAAAAGAACGAATTGTAGACATGGCGTAAGTAACCATAAATTCTTTTTGCATGCATACCTTTATGCTTTGTTGATTGCCGGATGTTGTGTATTTATGGAATTTTGTACTCAACTTTTTCTTTTTCATTTATTATTTTTCATGTTGCAGTGCTGCACCTGGTGGAAAAACGACGTATATTGCAGCACTTATGAAAAACAGTGGTATATATTGATTAAATGATTTAGCGAAGGTTCCATTGCATGTTCTACTTGCTATTCTTATGGATCATAGAATTACTGAAATGGTACTTGATATTTTATTAAAAGAGAGGCCTACCGTTTTCGCAAAGTCATTTTCCAATTTCACAATTGAAATCTTTGTTAACTCAAAAATTTATATCACTCCTTTTGTGTGTTGATAACAAAGCTTAGATGAATTTATGTAAGCCATGCATAACATATATTTGTGATATGTGTACAATATAATAACATAAAACACATATAGTTTCACAATTTATAGAGTTTAACCACATTGTTCTCTCATATTATTTGATAATTCCATAACCTAAGAATGGGTTGCATGTTTTTTGGTTGGTTTTATTGCACTGAAACTGTTGGTTGTGAGCTATTGTGAATAGTATTCATTGCTTTGTTGTGTTTCCTCCTCTCTTCATAACTAGGTATTGTTTATGCAAATGAGATGAAAGAGCCAAGACTTAAATCACTTGCTGCTAATTTACAACGCATGGGAGTGACAAATACCATTGTTTGTAACTATGATGGGAGAGAGGTTAGAGCTTCTCTTGCTTAGTCAAAAATATTGAGCTTATATCAACTGAACATTTACGTTTGCTAGCATAAAATATTGTTAAAATAACAAAGAAGCAGCAATACAATAACAACCCCATGACCCCACCCCCATCCCGGTGCATTTTCTCCATTGAAGTACTTTTGCATTTTTGGAAAATTGATTTGATTCTACTTATAACAAAAGTTAATCATGAATAAATACTATTTTTGGTGGGATCTTACTGGGTTTGTTTGTTGTTGTACTCCATACCAAATTTTCATGTCTGTTACTCTCTAATTTTTGTTCCTCCTTCACTGCACATACTTGATGGATGAAGGTAACTTTTCTTTTCAAAAATCTAATTTATTTTTAACCTAATGTGAAAATCATTGCAGCTACCCAAAGTTATAGGTCAAAACTCAGTTGATAGGGTGTTATTGGATGCTCCTTGCAGTGGCACCGGGGTATGGCTTAGAATTAATGTAAATCGGATTGTTTTTTTCTTTAATTTCCTCTCTTTTTGTCTAGACACTTGTTCTCTGTACTTCGCAATACAGGTCATATCTAAGGATGAGTCAGTGAAGGTTTCTAAAACTACCGAGGACATACAGAAGAGTGCTCATTTGCAGAAGGTATAGAATTATTTTTATGGTCAGACATTTATATTTGTGTTTTTGGAATAGTTTCTTTAGGCGGTAGGTTCAATGCTGTACAAACATTTAACTGAAAGTAGCTGATGGTCTATGCTTTGGAAGGAAATTTATCCAGTATTTTAAATCTGTAACTAATTCTTGGTGTTTCCCTGAAACCGTTTTGAAAGTATGCATAAAGAGACCCACTGCATTGTCAAAAATTGTTTTAATTTGTCATGTGTGCAGGAATTGATCCTTGCTGCAATTGATATGGTGGATGCTAATTCAAAAACAGGGGGATATGTCGTCTACTCAACCTGCTCCATTCTGGTTGATGAGGTACGCCGCAAGATGCGGTAACCCACCCACAGTTAAATTACTCCCTCCGTCCGGAAATGTTCTTCCTATTTGAATTTTCACGGTCTCCAATATTGCAGCATTAATATCTATATTTATACATAGATATATTTTATAAAAATTTGATATTTGAAAACTACGTTTCATTGTAGATATATTGATATTAAATTTACATCATAAC